GGAGAACCTTTTCCATTGTGCCACAGAAGACGAACGATTTCCCTGGGGCCGAGTTCCCTGTCACAGACAGATCTAGTGAAGGCTGAATGAGCAAACTCCGGGAAGCAGCCAGGGTGATGATTCCAAGAACCCGAGTTTTCTTTTCAGCATCTGATTCTCAAGTAGTCGGGTTCATTTTGAATGGCATTTCATTTCCCTTGATTTGGCTCCTGCAAGGCCTGGCTTTCACCAGCCTCACCCATACTTGCTGAGCTTCTGCCCTCAAGTTGAAGTCAAGAGCTTGTGCAAGCGAGCTCTAAACAAAATGATGAGATTCTGAGCAAAATCTCCCTGGATAATGCAGCGGAATATATTCTTCTAAAATATGAAACAGATAAGCAAAATAGCTTTTATTCCCTTTCTTGAACATCCCAGAAGCACCACTCTTGAAGATTGAGCTGTCAGAGTCAAAGGCTCCGAAATTAATGCAGCGCAATTTTCTGCCATTTGTGATAGATTTCTGGCCTTTTTATGCATGTGAACATCTCAGGCACGCGCAGAGGCGAAACTCAAGGGGGAGGGAGGTTATTTCCACAGACTTCCTCCAGCCATTCCCCACTGTCCCCATCTGATCGCAGCTCTTTGTTTTGCACCGAATAACAATAAAATAAAAAAAATGAGGACAAGTGGGAAAGAAAAGCAATGATGCGATTTTAATGTCCCGCCAACAACGCAGACAGAATTAAAATGTTCTTCGATTTTAGACAAAGGAAGAGGGATTTGGTTAAGGGCAAAAGAAAAAAGATGTATCTTTTTTTTATAGGAAGCACGTGTTAAAGAGTGCTGCAACTTTTCTGGCCACACAAAAAGATCCACTAGAACATTCTTCCCAGTGCCGATCTCTCCTTCGGAGCGACGCACATTATGGTTCAGATTCTTATTTCTTGGAGGTTGACACAGTTTGTCTTTCTGACTTGGATACGAGTCCAGTCAGTCTTTCTTGATACTGTTTTGTTTTAACTGTATTTCCTTCCTTCCTTCCTTCCTTCCTTCCTCCCTCCCTCCCTCCCTCCTTCCCTCCCTCCCTCCCTTCTTTTCTTTCTTTGGGTGTGTGTGTGTGTGTGTGTGTGTGTGTGTGTGTGTGTGTGTGTGTGTGTGTGTTCAAGCATGTAAACACATGCTATGGCATGCAGCATGTGTCAGAGGACAACTTGCATGAGTCAGTTCTCTCCTTCCACAGTGTGGGGCCCGGGGATTGAACTTGGGTTGTTGGGTTTAGCAGCAAGCCCCTTTGCTTGCTGCTGAGTCATTTCACCAGCCCTGACCCCTGGTTTTGAACTTGCTGTTGTGATTCCTTTCCCCTCTGCCTGACACCAGGGCCATCTGACCCAGACTGCCTGACCTAGAACAGCCCCATGGCCAGACACCGAGGATGACTTTCATTTTGTGTTCTTCCTTAAAGAGTCTCATTGTCCAACAGTGTCTTGTCATTCTGTTGCTTCCTCAGTTGGAATAACATCCATAAAATCAGATCCTAGTCTGCCTGATTCCTAGATCATTCCCAGCACCAGGAATCACAACTCACACACTTGTCCAGTTGGTGCCTTTGTTGCCCTTGGTCACTTCCGGTTTCCTCCCACTCTGCTGTAATTCCTGGACTCCTTTGAGGCACAGGGATCAAATTATACTAACTGGTTCTTTTACTTGGTGACATTACCTCCTGTCCTCCTTAACGTCCACCCCCATTCACGTTACCCCATCACCTACTTGTTATGACACTTAATGATTTTTGTTGTCATAGAAACACTGTGCCCTTTCAGCTTGTTGACCTCACTGCTCCAGTCTCCTGTTCTGCCTCTTCCTCCTCCTTCTCCTTTGCCTTTTCCTCTTCCTCTAACCCCACCCCTCATTACCTGTGATGTCATTGAATACTTAATCAGGACTGCCACATTATCCAGCTGCCACCCCTGCGCCCTCCATACTCTGCCCTCCTTCCCTCCACACCGGTTTAGACTCCCACATCCATCCCTATAATCGTTCTTTGCGTCATTATAATCGACTACCTTGCCCCTGCCTCTTTCTTAATGTTTACCTGGCAAAATTCTAGTCCTGATTAAATCCAACTCACTGGCTGCTCCTCACCTGCAGTCACGACTGGGAAAAATACACACCCATATTGATTTGTTTCATTTAAATTCATGGTCATGAGCCTCAGGGGAGCCCTCCATGCTGTGGGAAGTGCGCCTTTGCTCGCCTAGTTAATTGGCTCTTCCTCTCCAGAACTGTTACAGACCTTTTCCTCTCTCCTCAGCCTCCTCTTCTGTCATCCTCTCCCCACTCCCAGCTGAGGACCTTGTGTATTATTTCACTGAGTCAAGGGAACTTTCCACCATGTCCGTCAATCAGACAGCACACCGAGTCGGCACAGTGCGCTGCCCTCCTATTACAGGAAGAGAGGAGTCCCCGCCTCCAGCAAAGGCCAAACTTCCAGCTTGAAGTACACCTCTCCTCCCTACTCAAAGTCCTTGCTCCTGCACCGACTCCTCTTTCTTCTGCTTTGTCCCTTTCTGCTCTTTACTGGCTCATGCTTATCAGCATGGAAAACATGCTAGAATCTCTCCCATCTTAAAATAAGGTCATCCCTTGACCCCCACAATCCACTCCATCAACTGATTTCTCTGGGCCTCGACAACAAAGCTCCTTGGAAAGTGTAATTACAGTTGCTATCTCTGCAGCCTCACCTACTACTCTTGCATACTGTCTAGTCATGTGCTCCGTCCTCCATGGGTGGAACCATTTCCAAGGTCCCCTCTGCCACATCCAGTGCCCAGGTCTTTCATCTCCCTTTGGAGTGGCTCATCCTTCTTTAAGGATTGTTCCACTCTGCTTCTAACACGTTTCTCTCTTCTATTCTTCCATTCATGGGCTGCTACTTTCCAATCCTTGTGGCTCCTCCTCTCCAGTGTAACTGCAGACCCAGGTCTCAGTCTTGGACCATCTCTCCATGCTCCCTCACTCTTTTCCTGTGAAAAACACCATTAACAGGTAGCCTATAAACAACGGACCTCCCACCTCATGGTTCCAAACCATGGGAAGTCCAAGATGGTGGCACCACAGGCTTAGTTTCTGGCAAGAACCAGGTTCTCATAGGATGTGCTTCCCAGCTGGATTATCATGTGGTAAAGGGACTGGCTACTCTCTGGGGCCTCTTTAACAAAAACTTTGATTTCATTTTCAAGAGTGCAATCATCATGAATTCATCATTCTCCCCAAATCCCACCCCCTCAAGCCATCACCCTGGAGTTTAAGATTCCAGGATATAAATTTTGGAAGAACTATATAGACTATGATACCTTGGATGGACTTATTTAGTCTCACAGCTTTAAAGATCATTTCCCAGGTCAGATGTGGTGGCAAATACCTGTGTTCCCAACACTCAGGAATTGGAGGCAGGAAGATGATGAGTTCAAGTCCAGCCTGGGCTACAAAGCAAGACCCCATCTCATAAAATAAAAACAAAACAACCTTTGCCCTGAACAGATGACCTCTCAGATTGTTGTCACCAGCCTTGACCTCTGTCCTGTCCTCCAAATGTAAATACCCAACCCCTTCCTGATATCTCTGCACTGTAATAGGAATTACGTAATAGGAATCAAACATCACAGATGCAAACTGAGCACATGGATTCCACACCACCCTCACCTCCACCAAAACCACTCTCTCGCAGGAAGTCCTGGCTCTGTCATGGTGTTACTGCCTCCTTTTCTCAGATCAAAAAGCTGTGAGTCATTATTGACCTCTCACATCTACATCCCATACTCAATCCATCGGCTGCCTTTCCAATTCCACCTTTAAAATACCGACAATCCTTGTTCAGCCCATGTTTAAGTCGTCATGTTGGTGAGACTTTATTGGTTAGAGGTGCCAAGTAAATGGGCCAAAGGCCACAAGGCCTCAGCCCTACAAAAATAACTACAGACAACCAAGGAATGGTGAGAACAGGAGAAATGGTCTTCCCCAGGGAGGGAGCATATCAACTGGTTATTCAATGCCAAATAGTCATCCTTGAAAACATACATATAAGTAACATTCTACACATTGAGTGGGTTATGTTTAGGAATATATGTATATATACATATACATATGGGTATGTGTATTGTGAGGTGTTCACATGAATCTGTTTAAGGGGGTACCAATGATTTATTAAAGTAATAAAGGGAAAGATACACTCTCGGACACAGAACCAGGTGAATAGCTGCTGTCTGATCCACCTGGGAGTGAATGGATCAGTCATCTGAATCCACCCCAAGAAGAAGAAGAGGAGGAGGAGGAGGAGGAGGAGAAAGAGGAGGAGAAAAGGCTGAGACCCCCCCCCTTCTCCTTTTAAGCAATCACGTAATCGGATCAGAAATCATGCCCTAAGACTTATACCTCAAAGCTAAGTGGTGGAACGAATTCCCACAACACATGTGTCCACTTAATGAAAAAGAGGCTATGAGTTTGAAAGAAAGCAAGGAGGGATGTAGGGAAAGCTTTGGAGGGAGGAAAGGAAAGGGGGAAATGGTGTAATTATATTAGAGTCTCAAAACTGAAAGAAGCAATAAAAAATTACAGACAGTCATGACTTAAGGTGGCTTCACTGATGATTCATTCCTCAGTGGTGCAAAAGCAATACAAATCTTTAGTAAAAACTGTCCTTCAACTTGTGAATTTTGATCGATTCTCAGAAAACAATACTGACCGCAGCACCAAGGCTCATCTCTCAGTTAACCAGGACATCATGTTGGGGGAGCTGTCCATGTTCTATTGCACGCAGTGTCGCTCAGCTCTGTGGGGTTGATTAAGTGTATTCAAATTATTTTGAAGCTTGGAGGTGGTAGTGCATGCCTTTAATCCCAGCACTCAGCAGGCAGATCTCTGTGAGTTCGAGGCCAGCCTGGTCTACAGAGTGAGATCCAGGACAGCCAGGGCTACACAACACAGTGAAACCCTGTCTCACAAAAACAAAAACAAACCCAAAATTGTTTTGAACTCATATTTTCAATTTATTATGATTTTTTAGATTACAGCCACATCGCAAAGTCATTCCTAGAGTATGTTCTATTTTGTTGCTGCTATGACAAAATTCCTGAGAAAACTTAGAGGAGTGTTGTGTTTTGACTCATGGTTTAGGAGAGTTAGTTCCATGCTCAGCTGACTCCATTGGCTTCTCTTATAGCCAGAGCCCCTGTGGCTGTCATCACAGAGGCCAATGAGTCTTTGTAGAATTAACTCCTTAAGTTGTGCTTTTTCCAGAAGGCTGGTGCCCCGAGAAGCATTAAGACCTTAGTAAACAGCCGTCCCTCTCATCTCCAGCCAGGATTATTTATAGAGAGAGAAGGCTTTGGAGATAAAGGCGGTCTGTCATTTCAGGGCTCCCCTTTGAGCCTCTGCCTAGGAGGCTGGCCACAGCTCTGAGATTTGAGATGTCTATGCTTCTCTTGTTATCCTCCTTTGCACTCTGGCCTCATTCTGCGGGTGTTTGGGCTCAGACACTTCTCGAAATGCTCCACCTGTTTAGTTTCGGCTGGTATCGACCTTGCACTCCTTCAGGGCATCCTAGGGAGTGGGATTAACTCAGAAACAAAACATTGATAGTATGTAAGTAATAAGCTAGAGATAATATGTACACACAAATTCCCTTTTACAATGTGGAGTACAAATGTGTCTTTATAATTGTCTTAGTTACTTTTATGTTGCTGTGATAAAACACCTTGACCAAAGAAACTTCTAGAAGAAAGAGTTTAGTGGGGGCTTACAGTTTCAGATGGTCCATAACCATCATGGCAGGAAGCATGGCAGTAGGCAAGCAGGCAGCCATGGCACTGGATCAGTAGCTGAGAGATGACATCTTGATCCACAAGCATGAGGCAGAGAGGATGGGAATGGCATGGGATTTTGAAATCTCAAAGCCCATCCCCAAGTGACACACTTCCTCCAACAAGTGTCCAAACATATGAGCCTATGGGGGGCCATTCTCATCGAACTACTACGATAATACAGAGTACAAAATTGCTCCTCTTTGTCTCACCTGTCCCCTGTTTCCCGCACTCCAGTAGTGACTCTTATCCATTACATCTGCAGTTTATGAAAGACATGCTCACTGACGTTTATGACCAGTGTGGAACTCTCCAGCACAAAGTTGTACATATCAGAGTACTCCACATGCCACAAAAAGCAGTTTTGACTTGGTGTGAAATTATTTAAGAAACTATTTAAGAAACGTGTGTGCCAGAAACAAAAGTAAGAGCCAAGGTTAGAAGACACTCACTGCATCAGGTAGCCTCAGATAAAATCATTTCTCTATAACCCCTCAGCCTTGGTTACTTTTGAAATGGTTGGAATAAATCGACTCCATTTTTTTGCTATTGGCTTTGAGACACGGTCTCCTTAGGAAGCCCAGGCTGGCCTTGAACTTCTAACCTCCCTGCTTCAGCCCTGCAAATAGCCAGCATGACTTTGTGTTGATTCTGACCTCGTTGTTTGAAGCATTAGTCTTGTATCCATGCGTTGAATTTTGGAATTTTAATAACCTTTATTCAGCATACACAGACCATCTTTAAGTTGCCGCCTTCTCAAGCCTTGAATGATTTGCTCAGATGTTTTCCAACATGCTTAAGCCCACTGGGCTTGTCCACATCTTTCCTTTCCCATTTTGGAAAATTATAGTCATTTTATCTAAGGAGAAAATTTTATTTAGCGATATAAAATCCTTCCTTTTCTGTTCCGTTTTCCTTACCCAAAACTGCATCCTCAGACTAGTCTTCTCTGCATACCTCTTCCTTCTCGCTTGCTGTTTCCTCTGTGCTGTACTTCTTCCCTAATATCGAAAGAGAAACAGAAGAAACAAATTCGCCTGCTTTTATTAAATGAGAATTGAGGGCGGGCGGTGGTGGCGCACGCCTTTAATCCCAGCACTCGGGAGGCAGAGGCAGGTGGATCTCTGTGAGTTCGAGGCCAGCCTGGTCTACAGAGTGAGTTCCAGGACAGGCACCAAAGCTACGCAGAGAATCACTGTCTCGAAAAACCAAAAACAAACAAAAAAAGAGAATTGAGTCCAAATTACAATTTTGAGATAGTATATCAAATTAACATAATCTGTTCACACATCATTAAACCATGCTTTTCTTGTTTGTTGTAAACCCTAGGCAGACTTTACTTGAAATTTTTTAGACTCTTTCACACTTTCTTTACACAAAAGTCTAAGTGAAAGAATATTATATTCCAGGGAGAGCTGGCCAAGACGGCAGACTGGACAGAAAGCTACCCTGTGTCAGAAAACAGGCCAAACAGAGAGAAAACACACAGAAAATCTTCCTATATTAACTCTGTAATTACCGTTTGGGACACAAAAGACATTTGCAGCCAGGCGGTGGTGGCGCACGCCTTTAATCCCAGCACTCGGGAGGCAGAGCCAGGCGGATCTCTGTGAGTTCGAGGCCAGTCTGGACTACCAAGTGAGTTCCAGGAAAGGCACAAAGCTACACAGAGAAACCCTGTCTCGAAAAACCAAAAAAAAAAAAAAAAAGACATTTGCTCCCCTGATGACTTGGGGATATACAAACAGCTGCTTTTTAAAAATAGAGGTATGAGCTAGTCAGATCAATTTATCAGAACATGCCCCAAGAGGCTGTTTCTGGCACTAAGGCTGTGTCAGCCATTCTAAAAGTCAGAGCCCCGAAACAAGCCGGACAACAGAACAGAGTGGAACAGAACGGAACACGTGCCCACACGGCCCATAACCTGGGAATGAAAACAGTACAGAATACACTTTGAAATCAAAGACCAAACCAACTTTAACCCAGGCACTGAACCAGAAAGCTCCACGATTCCCTTTGTGAAGTGAAAGCAACATAGTCTATGTGCCAGGGTCCCGGGAACCAGGAAGCTCCCCAGTGGAGCCACTTAAGAGTGTTCCAGCCCGGAACTCTGGCTTCCCAAGTCCAGGCATCGATGGTGATGCCTCATTGACTCGGGGACTTTTTGGGTGGTCTTGAAGCCGTCCTTGTGGAGCTGCCAGAGTTTACCAGACCTTGTGCTGTCTGTGACCAGATTAGCCAGTGAGCAGTGCCGAGGACTGAGTCTCTAAGCGCACTTTACTCAGCAAGCTGGGCACCTAAGGCGGCGGGTTAATGTCTTAAACATGCCGCCTACATCTCAGCTGCAGCCGGCAGCTTATTTGAAAGTGCGGGGTGGGGATCAGAAGAAGCTGATCCTTGCGGAGCTCAGTTTTGCTCTTCCGTCACGTTTCTGCAGCTTGTGATGCCAGTGCGTTTCTTGTTATCCTTGCCTTCTGCCTCATCTTGTGGATGTCTGGGCTCAGGTACTTCTTCTAACACCGGATCGTGGCTGACAGTGTTCACCTTGTATTCCTCCAGGGGCAACTTGTTTGGCTGGCTGGTGGTGAGAGGGTTAAATCTGAACAACAGTTAGCGTGTAGGTGCTACAGTTGTAACAAGATGCAGGTGCACATCCCTTTATACCAAACGGAGTAGGTGTATTGTTGTAATGCAGAATATAAAAGAATATAAAAGCCATCTTTTCTGTCCCATACCAGTAAGGCAGAACATGTTGGCATCAGAAGTTTGTTGTAGAGGAGAGTATTGACATCATGGCAGACAGGAGGGAGAGAGGGAGGGAGGAAGAGAGTGAGAGTGAGAGACTGCTCTGTAACAAGATATACCCCCCAAAGACATGGTCCCTAGTGACCTACTTCCTCAGACACCACCTCCAAAAGTTTCTGTTGCTTTCTAATAATGCCATGAAATTATGAGTTCATCAGTAGATTAATCCACTGACTAGTGGGGTAAAGGTTTTAACCCATGAGCACAGCCATTTGTATAAATAGAATTCAACTCCAAGCTACCACCTCTACCATCCTCATCCAGGTTCAGACACCACCACCTGTCTCTCTGGCATTATAATATTCTTCTCAGTGACGTCCCTACTGCCACCCTTGTCCTGTACTGTATGCGCCACACAAGCAGAAGGACACTTTGGGATGGGACCGAGACGAGACAGGGTGGCACAGAGCTGAGGTTGGGCTGAATTTACTATGCAGCTGCGATTGGCCTTGAACTCCTGACCTTTTCAACTCTGCTTTTCAAGGGCTGGGTTTGAAGACTTCTACCACCTAATTGAAAATGTGAAACAGCTCATGAGCATTCTTGTCCAAATCCAGATCCTTCCGTCACTCAGCATACATCCCGCGTTCTCACTGAGGTCTGCGAAGCGCCGTGTGGGCTCTGTCCGCTAGAGCGTTCTCAGCGATGGAAGCATCGCCCTCTTTGCTGGCCACTGTGGCACCACAGGCAGCTGTTAACACTTCTGAGCAGCCTACAGCAACTGAGAAGCTGATTTTGAATTAAAGGAGATTTTTACATTTACTTATTGTGTGTGTGAACACACGCACAAGCCTCGGTACATGAAGGCCAGAGGAGGACTTGCAGGAGTGAGTTCTCTCTCTCCTCCCACCGCCTAGGTGCTGGGGGTTAAACTCGGGTCCCTGCGTTCCCCGGAGTCACCTTTACCCACTGAGTCATTCCCCACATCTTTTTTTTAAGGACTTTTAAATTTTATGTGTGTATTTGTGCTTGACTTATATGTATGTTCACCACGTATGTTCAGGCACCCAAGGAGACCAACGAGGGTATCACATCTCCTGGAACCGGAGTTACAGGCGCGTGTAAGCCAAACAATATGAATGGTGAGACTTGAACCCAGGTCCTCTGCAAGAACAGCAAGTGCTCTTAACTATTGATCTCCAGCCTCCTGATTTAAAAAAAAATGTTAAATTTCATTCCATTCTAACTAACTTAAATTTAAATAGCAGCATGTGTTTACTTATATTGGACAGTCCAGCCTTCCTCCCGGACTTGGCCTCCTACTCATTCATTCACACACTTTTCTGGAATAGATGCTGAGTATACACCCTTCCACTTGACAAATACTCCATATGAGATGTAGTCCCATTCCTTCCAATTCATTCATTCATTCATTCATTCATTCATTTTGTGCGTGTGTAAGAGCAGGTGTACCACAAAGGCACATACATGGAGGTCAGAGGACAACTTTTGGGAGTTGGTCCTCTCCTTCCAATATGTGGGCTCCAAGGATCTAACTCAGGTCTTCAGGCTTGGCAGCAAGTGCCCTCAGCCACTGAGCCAGCTTCCTGGCCTCATTTTTCTCTTTCATTTTGCTCCAGGCACACTGACTTTCCTGATGCTCCTTGAACATTTAAGCACATCGTGCCCATTGTACTTGTTTTTCTCGATGTCTGGAGTTCCTTGTCCTGGTTATCAAATGTCTCACCCCCTCATTTTGTTCTGGTCAAATGCCATCTCTTCATAAATGTTTCCTGAACAATCTACCCACAAAGGCATCACCTGTGGCTCTCCACCTCAGCCTAATTTTTCATCCTGACATTTGTGAGTGCCTGACACGGGCTCATCCTCCCTCTCCTCTATTAGCTTATAAGCCTCTGAGGGATGGGAGTCTGGGTCTGTTCGCTACAGTACATCCTATGCTCAGATGTGGATTCAGTCAGCAGCTGAATGTGTTCATTAGAGAAACAGGCCTTGGCCGAGAGTAAGCACCTAAGTGGCGTTGTATTGAAAAGAGGCGGACAGCTATCAGAAGTTCCCAAGCATTGAGTTGATAGTGATGTTGGGGACGTCTGTGATATGAAGGAACCTACACAACAGCCTAAGGACCAGTGGCAGGTGTTTGAGCAGGCTGTGGGTGACAGGGTCAGGGTGTGAGTGTGGTCTACAGAGGTCAACACGGAGAGCAGGAAGTGAAGGAGGAGAAGACTTCCAGAGAACAGCCCATGTAGGGAATGATTTGGCTGAGAAGACTTGGGCACAGTGCCCAGGTCAGGGCCTGGAGGGAGGACGTGGAGACCACAGGCAGACAGGAAGCATCCTCTCCCATCAGACGTAAGGTCTCCTGAAGCTGAACCACAGCTGCTCACCACAGACCATCTGGCCTAAGACAAACTTCTCAGGATGCCTCCCTCTTCTGGTAAGAGCTGGCCTGTTGACAGTGATGCTCTAACTGTGTGCTGTTTGCCTAATGTTTCTTTCTCTTGTCCACATCCGCTCTGCGCCCTGCCTCAATTAATTAAATTCTTTTGTGATGAGGAGCAAGGAGTCCCTTTGGGCTTCAGATCTAAGCTGTGTTCTCCTTTCCAGCTTCACCTGTGAGAAAGGAGATATTTGATCTCTCTTTGGTCTCTGTGTCTGTTTCTGCCTTAGAATCTGGAGATGGGACTCTCTTGGGGACCTTGACACCTGTAGCACCTGTGGTTCAAAATGCCACTCTTTAAAGAAAGAGTGGCCTCTCTGTGTGTCTCTGTGTCTGTCTCTGTGTCTCTGTCTGTCTGTCTGTCTGTCTGTCTGTCTGTCTCTCTCTCTCTCTCTCTCTCTCTCTCTCTCTCTCTCTCTCTCTCTCTCTCTGTGTGATTTGTGCAAGTGCCCATGGGTATGCTTGTAGAGGCCAGAACAAGACATTCCACGTCATCTTCTGTTATGCTTTACTTTATTATTTTTAGACAAGGCCTCTCAGTGAATGAGAAACTCACCATTTTAGTCTGGCTGGGTAATGAACTCTAGGTCTCCACCTGGCTCCAATCCCCTCCCTCACCCCTACCCAATGCTGGGGTTATGGGCACGCAGCCATGACTGGCTTCTTATGTGGGTGCTATGAATTTGAACTCAGGTCCTTATGCTTGCAGATAACCACTGTTACTCATGAAGCCATTTCCCCAACCTCAAAATGCCGCTGTTTCTAAAGCCTTCCCTGGCTCCCAGAGACTGGAGCTCCCTCTCCAGCCTACTATTCTTTCTTTCCTTTTTTTTTTTTTTTAAAGATTTATTTATTTATTATGTACACAGAAGAGGGCACCAGATCTCATTATAGATGGTTGTGAGCCACCATGGGGTTGCTGGGAATTGCACTCAGGACCTCTGGAAGAGCAGTCGGTGCTCTTAACCCCTGAGCCATCGCTCCAGCCCGCCTACTATTCTTTGTGCACGCTTGACAACAGGGTCAAGACACCAGGCTGTCACCGTATTGGACAGCAAGTTCCTTTAGCTTCCAGACTCTTCCTTATCTGTCCCCTCAACTTTCAGCTCAGAATAAGGGCCCAAGAAGCCCATGAGTGGAACAGCTGGCTACGCCTGGGGAGACAGGGTAACATGTACACTTGGGCAGAGTCCTAAGTCAAGTTTCGTAACGATCATAAGAGACAGAGCCTGAAGGCTGCTTAGTCTTCATGTCCTCCTCTTTACCTCTCCACTAATGAGTTGACTGGCCACACTCAGCTGTCTAGGTGGTTCTACTGGGGACCATCAGCTTTGGATGAAGAAATTCAGGCACTACTACTTAAAACCCATGTACTGGAATGGAGATGAATGCTCAGTGGGTAAAAACACTTGTTCTGAAAGTATGAGGGTCAGAGTTCAAATCCTCAGTACCCATGTAAATAGCTGAGCATGGCCATGGATGTCTGTTACCCCAGCATTGTAGGGCAGAGACAGGCGGGTTCTCGGGAGCTTGCTGGCTAGCCAACCTAGCCAAAATAGCCTAACCATTTCAGTGAGAGACCCCTCTGTCAAGACAATAGGGCAGAAAATGAGAGAGAAAGACTAATGTCCCACTCTGGCCTTCATATGCACATGTGTGGGCATGTGTACCCACATACACACATGCATACATCTCACACACACACACACACACACACACACACACACACACACACACACACACACACACCATGTATTTTGGGTCAAAATATGCCAAATATTGTAAGACATTGTAGACAACTGAATAACAATTACATATTGTATATAAGAGAATTATTTTGTTAGGTTTTTTTGGGGGTGATGGTTGCACATATATGCAAAGTCATATATATACACATATATGTATATATTAGAAGTGTATGCAGATGAATTGACAGGTATGCTAATATAATGTCTGAAATTTACCTTAAGGCTTTTGAAAATAACCAGATGAGATATGAAATGAACAAGGTTAGAATATCAATATATTTTGAAGGCAGGTGATAGGTATGTGGGATTTCATTTTATTATTCTTTCCTTTTATTTTTGTACGTCTGAAAACATTTATCAAGCAAAACTCAGCCACTTGTTCTCTCCCCTCATGAAGCTGAGAGGGTCACCCTCCGTCCAGTGCCCTGTGCTCTCTCTATGTACCAGCGCAGTAAGAACCCACAGATCTATTAGTGAGACAGCTTCATTAGGAACCCTCAGATTCCACCTTAAAAAATGAGCTGATGTCAGTAAGCTTAAAAAGACGATGCTGTGAAAGGTCAAAAGGATTAGGAGAACCGAGAGGGGGTCTGCCCCTAGACTAGGGCGTGACCTTCATCACAGTGAGAGAATTTCCCGGCCACAGAAATAGCCACGTGAACCACGGTAGATAAAAGCAGGAGCTTGGGGCTCTGGGTTTTGCTGGCTGTGAGCAGAATTTGCTCCCCTCCAGGGCTTCACACCAGAGCCCAGGCCACACAGCAGTGGGAGTAATTAAGCCAGGAAAGGTCATCGATCCATAATTCATGTCTAAAGGGCTCAATTTAATCATCAGCCGCCTCTCCACTTCCTTACCGGTGCCCACCTCAGTGGAGAAGGAAAAGGGCCACCTGAAGGCTGTATCCTCCCCTTAGAGCAGATAAGGGCAGTTTCGGCTGTCAGTCTTTGCTATTCAAAGGTGGGTAAGGTGTTCCCCCTTCTAGAGGACTTTATCAAGGTCACGCTCTTGAATTTGAGGTCATTCAATAGACCATAATCAAATCCAAGTGATAATCACATTGCTGCCGTTTATTGAGCACTTAATATATGTTAGACCCTCTCCAGGAATTATTCCAATTCAGGAAAGTGGTCATATAATCTTCATTTTACTGTTCAGGAAATGGAGGTTCAGATGGGCTATAGACACTGAATAAATCAGACACGATTTAGATCTGTCTCTGACCAGCTCCAAGGCCCACGCACATAACCTCTCCGTGTTTTGCCAACTAGAATTGTCTTGGACTTAATAAGAGAGCCACCCAGTGCCAAGTGAGGTCCTTGTGGTCTTCTTTTAAGTTGTTATTGGAGAAGTCAGAGTGGCTTGCTCAACTCTTCTGAAAACGGGCAGAAGCTGGAAGGAAGTGAGGACTTCTGCCTTGCCTGGAGCCCTCTGCTGTCACCCATGTTGGGCCCTCACAGCACAGCATCACACCAGCAGCCCTGTAAGCCGTTCTGAACCTTCACAGGTGTTGGTGGCAATTGTTTCCTGGGACCTGACTTGCTTTGTGCTGGCCCAACTCTACCTGTTCCTCGTGTCTGGGTCCTGCCTTTGGTCTCCAGGAGCCTTTAACATTTGGCTTCCTTGTACAGCACAAGCCACCACTTGGGTGTTGCTGGAGAGCTTGTGGCAAACTCTAGGGACCCTCTTCCGGTTGTTCAGTTGGTACTTTGAGGACTCAGCCTACTGGCTCATCCTCACAGGGGCCTGGGCCCAGGAAAGGTCTGTGGGCATGGAACCTGGTCTCTCTGGTCAGAAACAGATCCAGAAATGATGGCTATGGTAGTGCTTTCCTTAGAGTTCTGGAAATTTTTTTTTTCAAATGCCAACTTGCTGTGGCATGCTGAGAAAAATCAAGGAAGAGGATTCTGGTCTTCACTTGGGTAGGGGAACTAAGAGATGGAGCAGATGCCCTGAGAAGGACATGGAGGTGGCAGCAGGACCCTAAAGTGACTCAGGTGGAAGCAACTGAGGCCATTAGTTCAGGGAAGATGCTTTGCAGGCATGGAGCCCACTGGGTAGTAACAGCCCAGAAGATTTCTGGAGGCCCGTAGTGCCAATGTCAGGGAGCCAAAGAAAGGAGATAGAGATGGGGTGTGTCTGCCAATCTAGGTAGCCGAGGTCTGTAGGAAGAGCTCCAAGATGTGCCTAGGGTCTTCAAAGCAGCTGTTCTTAACATATGGCCAGCTTTAGAAAGCCAGCTAGAGGATGGCGACAGCCCCTCCCCCACAGCAGCTCAGCTTGAGATCCTTGGTGGCCTTCACTTCCCTTCCTGGCAAGGAGGAATTAATTAGACACCGTCACCACCTCACAAACTTTGAAACTCCCATCTTGGCTGAGCTACCCAGATGGAACTGCTTGAGTACCTACCTACTAGGCAACGGACACTGTTTACCCAGTCACTTTTTGGGGTCCTTGTCCAGGACAGTTACACCAATAGAAATAGCATCCTCTAGGGGAGGCTAACTCAAATAGATGTCAAAGAAGGAAGGTTCCATGCACTGCCTCTGGGTCTGGCCCTGTGGGAAGAAGAGGGAGTACTGGAATGGAGGGTCTTGTAGAAATGTTTTCTTGGCTAAGGAACTGTCCTAACAAAGTTTGAGGAAACCCAAGAAAAGCATTGCCCAAGCACCATTCCCAACCCAGAAGCTGGATGCTAGTGTTCAGTAGCCCAGAGGCTCCCAGGATAACCTTTCCCTCCCCAACTCACTCACAACTAGAATAGCTTCTGGGGAAAACAGACACTTTTCTTTGTGGTGCTGTTTGGCTCTAGCGTTTCAGTGGGATGAATAATGAAAGTCCCCTGCCATTCTGGCTCCCCACCCCAGGTGAGCACAGCTGTGAGGAAAACAGTTGGTTTGGGGCAATTTTCATGCACAAGAATGATAAAGAATTGGATAGAGGCAAACAGGCCATCCAATCCACCTCCTGCTGGGGTGGCAGGCTCCCAGACTCTGCGGTCTCCCGTGGTCTCCCTGGGCTCTGGAGCTGTGGCTTGCAGCCACCTCCATGCCTGCTGCTCTCGCTGCTGCAAGAGTTCTTGGAATCCTGGCCCTGGTTCCCAACCTTCTCCCCTGAGCTTGCCTCACGGAGCCATTTCCTCTTTTCTTCTCCTCCTCCTGAAGTCTTCATCTGCCCTGTCCCTAGGGGCTAAGGTGAGCGCCAACCCACCAACTGGCTTCCTGCTTGCCCAAGCAGCCCACTCTGAGGAAGCACCCTTAGGGACAGAGGTCTCTGTGATTATCTCGGAGTTTGTAACCGTGCCCTGTTCCACTCTCCTGGGGAATGCTAAAGTTTCCCAAAAGCTGGATAGCCACCGCTAAAGGAGAACTTCAGAGTATCTGTCAGATAGATACATTCAGGAGTGTGACCGAAAATTCTTGTGTGTGTGTGTGTGTGTGTGTGTGTGTGTGTGTGTGTGTGTGTGTGTGTGTTAGGGGAAATAATTACTCAGAAAGAAACAAAGTCTATCCCATCAAGCTTAGCTGTTGTTCTTAGAAACAAACACAGCATCACCCTCCCACAGCATAGCTACCCAGCCTTGACTCTGGCTGCCTCCTCCATGCTGAGACAGAACTCCTGTTGCCCAGACACTAGACAGGATCTCCCGGGCAATGGATCATGCCTCCGTTCTCTACCACTCTCTCAGCCCCATGGGTGCTTTGTTAATTTGGGGGGGGACAGAGAGTCAAAATGTAGTTGACGATAGCTCCCTCCTACATCTGTCCCTCCCCATGCTTTCTCTACCACCTCACCCCCAGGTCGGGGAAGGAAGAGGTTGAGAAGAATAGATGTGGAGAGAGGGAAAAGCTCAGAGAGGTAGAAATGGGGGGTGGGGTGGGAAGGCAATTTTGCATTCCTCATTAGCAGCACTAATTGCACAGTAATGACTTTGTGTTATTATCAGAAATTTATCCTGGCAAACAGTCAGCTCCCCAGCAGACACACACTTGCCTCACAGCGACAGCTTGACACTCAAGAGAATGAGCAATTTCGTCTCTAAAAGAAACTTCTTGAGCCCCGAATTCTGCTGTATGTGCTGAGAGGTTCTGAGCCTGTGCCTCCAGCCTCCTATGGGGACGTTACTCTGAGGCAGAAGGCCAGGTTGAGATCTCCCCCACAGCTGAGGGAGCCTGAGCACAAATATCTGAGGGCCTGGGGTCCCCTCTCTCACTTGGTTCTGGAAAGGAAGTCTGCTGCCTTCTCTTTTCCAGAAAGTATTTGTTTTGGCTTGAAATATTTAATCCTGGAATGTTCCCAGTTCCTTCTAACTCAAGTCACCTGGCAAAACAAGAAAGATAAAACAACTCAGAGTGCTCAAAACAGTTCCCTTCCAAGAAGCCTGCCTGATTTGCCCTGGGAAACCACTTTGGAGTCACACACACACACACACACACACACACACACACACACACACACTCATATCCTCACCCTACACAAGATGTGGACCTGATGTGAGCCACTAAGCGTTTGCAGACTGTGAGACAGGTGAATAGGGGTTGGGGATTTAGCTCAGTGGTAGAGTGCTTGCCTGAAGCGCAATGCCCTGGGTTCGGTCCTCAGCTCTGGGGTGGGGTGGAGGGTGGGAAAGGACAGGTAAATCTTGGTTTAAGAAGTATACAGGCTAGGAAGTGTCTTGTTAAATGCCATGCCAAAGGAGAACACCTCGTGCAGTGGGATGACGAAAAAAGTGGACACCCGAGTCAGCTCCAGAAGTCCGCTGCCTGTATACCAACTCATGGCAACCTCTCAGTACCAAAAAAAGGGGAGCAGCTTCCAGCATCTCCACTCCATTAATAAGAAAACAATGGCACAGAGAGACTTAGCAACTGGCCCATGGTTGCACCAATATTATATCATTCATTGGTCACAAAGTTCCAGAGCTTAGAGCAGCCGAAGGAGCATAGAATCATGCAAAGTGGGGTGGCAGGCAGGGAGGGGGAGATGCAGGGATTGTTCCTTTGAGACCACAGCTCAGGGAGCCTATGGAGGACACCAGCGTATAGAGAAGCAGCTAGACAGAGGGACAGGGGGAAAAAAGGCCAGGTCTAGAGGGGCTTTGTCTGCCCTACTAGAGAGAGCCAAAGTTAACATGAAGGGCCAAGACAATCTGGGGAATTTTGAGAATGAGGGTGGCATAATCATGTGATGTCTTGCAGCATCCATGATCCGGAGGAAGCATGCTGAATGTCTAGACTAGGGTAGTGAGGATGCTTCGGAGAATCAGAACAGGACAGGGCTTCAAAACACTTAGTGATTAAGGAGGCCCAGTGACTGACTGTGTGGACACAGACGAGGGAGAAGGAGACGTCAGGAGGGTGCTCAGTTAAGACTCCAGTTCAGTTATTGTCTTTCTTTAAGGAGGAAGATCTGGTACACAAAATAAAATATAACTACCAGCTTGGATGTATTGGATGGGAGAGACCTAGGATCGAGTTGTTTAGAACTGGGAGTTAAAAACGCACATGCGGAAGCAAGAAGAGAGAGTCAGGGACCCAGAATGAGAGGTCCTTGGGATGTGGGCTCTGGAGTGAGGTGGCCTGAGTTCCAGCCTGGTCACTTGGCCCCTGGAAGCTTTGGCTAATAGGGCCGTTGTGAGGATTAAGGAAACAACCTAGAGCCCAGACTGTCTTAAGGGCTCAGGGAATGTTTGATGTGTGTGTGTGTGTGTGTGTGTGTGTGTGTGTGTGTGTGTGTGTGTGTGTGTGTGTGTGTGTTGCATTTTATTTACTTCATGTGCACATGCATGTGTATGTGTATGTCACAAAAGTGTGCCACAGTGGTCACCTAGAGGTCAGAGGACAATGTGCAGGACTTGCAGGAGTCAATTCACTCTTTCCACCACACAGGTTCTGGGGATCCAACCCAGGTTGCTAGGCTTCTCAATAAGTCTTTACCTGCAGGGCCATCTCACCAGCCCATAGTGCTACTATTGATAATAGTATTGTTGCTGGGCATCATGCATGCCTGTAAGTTCAGTCCTTGGGAAGTGGAGGCAGGAAAATCAGGAGATCAAGACCACCCTAGGCTACATATCCAGTTGAAGGCTAGCCTAGGCTAAACAAACAAAAACAGTATTGTTTAACATTTGAAGTTCAAGAGGAGAATGGGCCACTTGGAGAAAATGTACAGGGACACAGGAGGAGAGCTGAACCCCGGAATAAATGGAAAGATTGAGAGCGGAGAACTTAGAAGGATGGAAATTTAGAGAGGATTGAGCCACAGAAGTTTCCTGGTCAATGCAAACATGGGCATTTGTACAGCATAGAGGTCAGAGAACTCATTTTAAATCAATTTCACTTGCGGCCTCTCTCCACTGCAATCCAGTGCTCTCCCTCAGGATAGCAGCCTGCAGCAGAGCTCCGGGAACTGCATATAGTGTGGTGTATTTGAAGGTTGCCATGTACAGGAAACAGGACTGTGTCTCAGTTTCTGCAGACTGGGTCTCAGTGAAGACCTTAGTGAGTGCTGAGAGAGGGCACACAATGAATGAAGACACAGGCTCAATTCTGGTTCTGCCAGGACTTTGGCTGAGAATCCAAGGCCTGTTATTTTACTCTCTCTCTCTCTCTCTCTCTCTCTCTCTCTCTCTCTCTCTCTCTCTCCCTCTCTCCTCTCTAAGGTATGGGGGGCTCACCAGTGAGGTGAGATTAACTAATACACCTTACTCTTAGGGCATCTCCCTCACAGAAGTTAACACCCGAGACTGCCTTGTCAAACGCCTCTCCCTTTACAAATGAAGCTTTAGTAAAGGAAAGAGGTGATGCCTCAGCCAGTTATTATACTCCAGCAAACAGCAGGAACATAGATGCTACCTGGGGTCTTGGATAGGAAAAGAATTTGATCCCACAGTGTAGAGGGAAACTATAATTTGGCAAAACAGCTTTGTTCTTTCCAGGGGCTCTGGCCCCTTCATTCCGTGGGAGATTTCAAGCCCTTGATTTGCTGTCTGAATTCTATCAAAATCCAGGATTAAGACATCTTTTGGCAGGCCTTTTCTAACATGTCACTTTAATTACTTTGGACATTTTATTTGGTTTTCTTTCATTAGTAGAACAGCCAGAGTCTTGAGATTGCAAACTCTGGGCAGGCTCCTGGGGAGAATTCCAACACTGAGGCTGTGCTCTAGATCCTTTCCTGGAAGCTGAGCCCTGAGCACCGTACACATCCCAGGTGTAGCCGAGACTCTCCAGGCAGCTCCTGGAGAGTCCCAGCTCTGCTCAAAGTCAAGCAGTCAAGCATGTTTGGAGGAGGAGGAGTTGATCAGCCCAGGTTCCAACTCTGGGCTTTATCAATGACATTGACTTCCCTCCAAGCCAGCACCTAGGTCCCAGAGATCTTTGCAAAGACACACAGAACTGAATCTTCCATTCCTCTATAATTAATTTATGAATACCCTTTACATATAAGAAAGTCTATTGGAAAATATCATAACCTTTTAAAGGAAAATATAAAAATTTCACAACCCTACCAACCTTCTTTCAATATGAAGAAGGAAGAGGCATTGCCTGTGGTCAGAGGGTCTGGGAACCACCTTCCTCATAACAGTTGAGGACTGAATGAGATAATTTCCTTCTTGGCTGTTTTCAGGGACTAGCTTAGCCAATGAGTACAAGTTAGCCTCTGAACACTACGCTTCCTGGGTGACCCTCTCTGATCTCGGAAAATACCTCAGAAACCATGGGGAAAGGGAGGTAGAGAGAAGAGCGTGGGCCCTCAAAGCTGGGGTCTCTGTGGCTCTGACTTACTTGACAAAGCAGTGAGCTTCCTTGTGTCTAGTTGCCTGTTATCTCTCTCTGCACGTCAGACTATCCACCTTTACATCTCTGCCGGGGACTGGAGAGGCTGGGGGCGGGGCTGGGGAGAGGGCTCCCTATTTAGAAACGGCACTGAGATGGAAAGATGATATGACACATCAGTTCATGTCAAAGGAGCTCACTCTTCCCGCCTACAGCATTAGCAATTTCTTACCAAGGTTCAAATTTAAAAAAAAAAATTATATGGACCTCATTTATTTTATTTGTAGCATAATTCAACAAGACACCACTGCTCTGAGTAGGGTGGGTGCCTGCCCCAAGGGCAGAGAATGGGGGTGGGGGTGGGGAATGTGCACTTTGGCTATCTAGGGAGAGGATGACAAAGGCCTGGGAGTGGGAGACCTCTGGTTTCTGCTTCAGATCTCTCATTCTGCCTCAGGCCCCTTGTCTAGACCCATTCTGTACTTCTGAGCAGCCTGGTCCAGGGACCCCAGATTCAGACAGTTCTGGCCAAAGCTAGAAGATAGCTGGGGGAGGGGAGGGGAGCTGGGCACGTGGAAAATCATCCTCTGCTTCTAGCCTTGAAGGGCCCCTGCTTCACAAGGACACTGAAGTCTTGACGGTGGCTGGGACTGCCCTAGGCCTCCTACTACCCTGTCTGATGTCCCTGTTTGGCATTTGGCCATATTTCCCATGCTCCCCCCCCCCCCTTCCCCATGTGTAAGCCCACACTCAGCATAGTCTTTCTCTGCAGGGTTGAGTGGTCTACAATTCCATTTCTTTCAACCTTTTTCCCTCTGGCATTTGGGTGACGCCCTGGGAGTCTGAATCTGGTTTCTTCATATGAGAAGACTTTTAGATGTGTTTGGGAATTGGGGCCTGGGGAAGGGTTTGAGAGATCCAGGAGAAGGTTTTCTTCTGTTTTGATACTGACTAGTCACCACAGTGGCATCAGCAGCTGATGGTGAGGCAGGAAGAGACCAGCTAAGGTGAAGCATGTCATAGTGTACGAAGAAGTATTTTTAGTGTTGCTTTCTGAATGTGTGCCATTGTAGGTGTCTGACTAGGTTTCTCTGTATCTCCTACCCCCAGTCTCTGTGCCTGTCTCCTCTATCTCAGTGTCTCTGTCTCTTTCCTGCAGTTACTCTGGCACCAGAAGCCTGGAGCTCCGGCCTCTTCCTGCAGCCCTGTCAGGGCAGAGCCTCTTTCGCTCTGTTAGGTTGAGAAATGCCAGAGATGCAGAGCTGCCTGCGGAGTGTGGAGGCTGGATCCGGGAACAATGAGAAATTATCTGTTAATTCTCAGCTCCTGCCACCTGCTCTGCTCCAAACAGGCTCCTTTGCCTTTAGTTTAGAGGCAAATTCCCCCACTCAGTGTAAGCAAAATATTGATTTCACTGCATCACAGACCTGGGCCCTTGGAAAGTTGGTCCTGTGTTTTTTCATTCTCTGCAAAGACAAAACAAGGCGCTTTGTTCTGCGAAACGTCCCCAGGAACTCGAGAGGGGGAGGGAGAAATCGCCGCTGAGTGAGAGTTGCCGTAAACACTGGCAGAGAGCAGCTTTCCATTTGTGTTTTACATAAACACAAAACCCCCGCTTGGGAAGCTGCTAATGAGCATGTAGCCTGGAGCCTCGGAACTCCGATCTCTCCTGGGGGCTGGGGTTTGCTCTGGCCGTGGAGGGGAGGATGACGGGGAGTCTTGGGTTCCTCAGGTGAGTTGAAGGCAAGTGGAGAGGCAGAAGCTTACCTGTTGTTGAGACAGCAACCCAGCACCACCGGCTGAAGGTGGTCCAGACTGCACAGGGTCTATGGATCAAGCCTCCTCAGTCCCTCCCGCCCGAAATTCTACATCTCTCAAAGGCAGATTCCAGGGACCCGGGTGGAAGCTGAGAACTGGCTATCGCCCCCCCCCCCAACCCCCCCACTATTCCCTAACACGGTGCGCACAGGCTGGTTGTTCTAACCGAGCCTTCAGCACCACGGACAGGGCCTCAGTCTTTCCCTTGCTCTATCCCGCCCTCGCTGTCTGGGGTTTGCAACTGTAGGGGCCAGCTGATGAGGCTGGGGCAGATGGTGCACCATGGGGATCGCCTGGAGCTGGCGCTCCGAATCTCCTCCCTCCGAACCTGAGTCACAGCCCAAGCCACTTCCAATTAGCTTGCTAATTCGGAGGAAAGACCCTCCTCCCCGACCACTCTCCCTTGCACACACCAGCCCTGTAGTTGGCAAGCGCAGGGGGCTCCGGCTAAAGTTTCTCTCCCAGATCCCACCTTAGGAAGGCGACACACTGATGATAGGTGAGGGCAGGAATCTACCGTGATAGGACATTACAGGGCTCTGTCCGCTGGCAGTTAGCAATGGCTGCTAGATTTCCAGGGCTGAGTGAAGCATCCCAGCCATCCTGTTTCAGAGTTTATTTCCTATTTAGTTTTCGGTCTTTCTGGCTCTTGTTATATAAGCTTCATAGAAAAATTTATTATTTCTGGTGGGTTTGGTCTGATGCGTGAAGGTGGGTCTGGTGGGAACCGAACCCCTTCCTGAAATGCTCCCCATTCCTATTCGCCAGAAACTTTCTCCTCCCGTTGCCATGGAGAGAGACGGCCGCTGCCTCCGTCGCCATAGCAACGTGCGGGTGCCTTGGACCACAAGCTTGCGGGGCTCTGAAAGTCTTCTTTACAGTTCCCCTCACTCCGCAGTCTTGGGGTCTTCTATCTCCGAAGCTGAGACCCGGCAAGTCTGGCTAACTTCTCCTGTCAACAACCATGGCAGGGTCCTCCCGCCGTACAGTCAGGCCATCCCTTTTTATGTTGTGTTATTGCGATGCCCACTTGTGTAGCATTGTGGCAGTTTCCCCAACGTTTTCACAAGTACTACCTATATTCTCAGGGAGCTCACGAAGCACCAGTAATCATTACACCTCTTTTACAAGAAGGAAAAACTGAGTCCCACCGCAGTGGTCACATCCGCAGTGGCCTTGAATCCTGAATGATGCGGGACCACGGGGTTGGAACCTTCCCGGACTCAGGCAGGTCCCTGCGTGTGGAGGGGGCGGCCGAGAGGCGCCAGACTTGCCAGCTGCCGCGGGATGCCACGTGAGGGGCGGGGACCCTGCGGGGAAGTGATTAAAAGCACAGTCGAGCCGCAGGGGGCCGCTGCGGGGAGGGTCTTCTTGGGGCCGCCTTGCCCCGCCCCAGTCCGGTCGTGGCTGGGGTTCGAGCCACTGCTCCGCAGGCCTGAGTGTACGGGGCATGAGCGGGGTTTGGGGGGCCGGAGGGCCTCGGTGCCAGGCGGCGCTCGCGGTCCTGGCCTCTCTGTGCCGGGCCCGGCCGCCCCCTCTCGGGCTGGACGTGGAGACTTGTCGGAGCTTCGAGCTGCAGCCCCCGGAGCAGAGTCCGAGCGCGGCCGACTCAGGTACCGGGAGACCCAGAGCCCCCTCCATTCCTGGATTTTCACCCCGGTGGCCTCCCTTCCCCCAAGGCACCGGTCCAAGAGCCCCAGAAACCTCAAAAGTCTAGCTTAGGGTCCCAGCCTGGGCCAGTCCCCTGGCTCACCGCCTGCAGGAAGAAATTCGAAGGGGATCCGGGAGGAGAACCCCTTCTCCCCTCGGGTCACTAATGGGAGAGCTCCGAGATGCGGCACTCCTGGGACCTCAGTTTCCCTGGTGTCTCTAGGCTCACCCCAGGGGCGATCGGCCGGGGCCGTGGAGTGGGAGACATCCTGGCTGCTGAGGAAAGACTGAGTTCCCTGGGGATTCCAGGGTCCAGGGCCCCTCAGTGACTGGGTGAAGGCGGGTCGAGCCCCTGGGCTTGGGAAAAACTTGCGTCTGCAGCTGGCACGCGGTCTTTGTGTCCAGGTCTCTCAGCAGCCAGTGGCTGTCTGCGTCTCGCCGGGGGTGGGGTGGGGTGGGGGCGGGGAGGGTGTCGTGGCGTACCCCCCCCCCCCGGCACCCCTATAACTCGCTCCCTCGGTCTCTCTCTGACTCACTCGGACTCCGGGCGGGTGCGCAACTGAGCCGGTGCCTCTCGCCGACTTTGCCAGGCGGGAACCTCCTGCCCGGGCGGTGCGGACCCTGCGCCGGACGTAGCCCCGGCGGCCGCCCGAGCCAAGTCGAGCTTACCGGAGCCGGTGAGTCCAGAGCCCGAGCCCGAGCCCCGCGGGGAGGGTCCCGCGTGCAGCCGCGACGTCTCGCGGGAGTCGCGACAACAGGGGTGGCGTGTCGCGCCCTGGCGGCGGGAGCCGCGCGAGTGTCCGCGGCGTGGCAGCCGACCGGCCCGGGTATGTACCTGCTGCACCGGTCTTTGCCGCCAAGCTCGCCCGCTGCAGCGGGATCCTTTGTCCCACAATTAGGAGGGTCCAGGACAGAGCGAGTATGGGTCGTGTCCCCTCGGATGGAAGGGCCCGGGGCAGCGCGAGGCCCGGAGTGAATGCGGCGTGGGGGTGGGGAGATCCTGCAGAGACCGAGGCGCTGGAGTTCCTCGGGGCTCCGCAGACTCACTGAACCTTGTCCCCAACCGAGACCCGGACTCGGACCCTAGTGGCTCTGGGCCTAGGCTTAAGTGAGAGTCGCTCCATGGTTCCATATGGCTGGCGCGGGAAAGAGAGGGAGGGGAATGCTAGAGGCAAGAACACGGTCCCCACTGGTCTCCCCAGGGACAAGTGGCCAGGGACCAGAGGATAGGTTCTGGGAGCAGGTGCAGGTCGGGTAAGCTCCCCAGTGACCTCAGACTCCAGAACCCTGTTTCCATTTGAGGTTAAAGGTCAAAGATAGAGGTAGATTCTGGGTTAGGAATTGAGTCTTTGAGGGAGGGAATAGAGAGGCCGGGGAAGGCTGTGTGTATCCTCCAGGAGGCTGTATCCAGCCTTGTGTGAGTGGAGCCCACCTCACATCTGGATGAGTCATTAGGAACGCTGCTCTCTCTCTCTCTCTCTCTCTCTCTCTCTCTCTCTCTCTCTCTCTCTCTCTCTCTCTCTCTCTCTCTCTCCTTCTCTGGCACTATTTTATCAATGAATTGATGACCACGGCAGAAGAGACCAAGACTAGACTTAAGAACTTTGGCGAGTAGAACAGTGATTTAAGTTGCTCCTCCTCTTCGGTATTCTCAGGACAGATTAGTCATTAGAGACCGTTTCTCTGGTGTCATCTCCTTCTGCACACCCCCAACTCCATATACTCCCAAGACAGAAATTTTCTCAAGTCAGTCACTTCCTACCTCCCCCCTTTCCATTAGCTGCCTCCCATCTTTCCCTCAGATGCTCCATCTGCAGTGGGGTCTTCCCTCTGGGTTTGATACCTCAGAGTATGGAGGGACAGAACACATCCACAGAGTTCTGCGTTTCTACCTGTCCACCGCAAAAATGCTGGGGGCAGGGTAGCCTGTTGTGTGGACGTGTTGAGGGAGACACTGGTATCCCGACTCCCGAAAGATTCCTTTAATCTCAATGGCCAAGCTGAGGTGAGTGAAGCCTGGGCGAGAGGCAGGGTACCAGCTCAATCAGTACCCTGCCCTAAGGTGAATTTGAGTTGTGCAAACTGCCCTGGCCCTGGGGAGCCTTAACTTGGTTACTGTGTCTGTCACAAGCCCCCAAATCCTGGGGCCAAGATAGGACAAGAGATGCAGGTAGTCAGGGGGCTGGATCACATCACTAGCTCTGCTGGCTCCTGGACCTTGGGGATTTAGGTGAGCACTGGGTTGGTGGAGATGTGGTATTCAGGCCAGGGTGCAGACCTTCCACCTCCCAGCCTGCTCCTTGCACCCCAGAGACTCCATCTAGGATCCGATCCTCCAACCAAAGCAACGCTGGATCTTTTCATCTGCAGTTTTATGGGAAAAAAAAAGTGCAAGTGAGCAGAGTATGCTCGGCTCCCTTTTCCATCCTATCTTTTTTTTCTTGCCTTCTGCCAACTCCAAAGTCTCTAGCTCCCAGGATTCCCAGTAATACCCTGAGCTTCAACAGTTGAGACTCAGAGTCCACTACCATTTGCACAGACCTTCCTATAGGCCAGGGTCTGGGTAAGGAATTGCATCAGAAATCTCCATGAGTTAGACCCTGACTTGGAAAGATCTATACTGAAACTTTTCGCTTTCCCACTTTCTCTAAAAACCCTGAGAATAAAAGGTCTGCTTTCTTTCTTAATTTACTCCTTATATGCCCCATGCACTCAAATAGTCACCAACAGGCTTTCCTTCAGTCATTTTACCTGTTGAGGTGAATGAACTTTATATATCGTCCAAGTTGCAGAGGGCAAAGTGTGCAACAGAAATCTGACTGTTCTGGAATATTCAGGAACCTGAAATCTGACCCAAGCTGCCTGGTGCTGCAGGCTGGCAGCCAGGAGCGGTTGTTCCCAGCCTACCTATGGCCCTAGATGGATGTAATGTTTGTTAGCTTTACTAATGACTCTAGAGATGTTCTGTGATCCAACCACCTGGTTTTGAAGTTGGCTTTTGCAGCCTAGAGAATGTTTTTTCCCCCTGTGTGTGCTGGCAAATGAAATGCAATGCACATTTCTCTAAAACAGAGTCTCATTTCTTCATCTGAAGAATCAGACACTCCCTGGCTCCTTCTAGACGAAAGGAAGGAATATATTTTACATTTGTGGAAGCCACGCACCACCCTAAACAACTGGCGGGGTGGTTTTCCAATACTAGTATATTTCATTCCTTAACTTATTTTTCCTCTCTTGATGTTTTGAGACAGGATCCAGCTATGTAGCCCAGGTTGGCCTGGAACTTGTGACAATAATCCTGTGTCAGTCTCCTGATACAGCACCACCACACCTAGAATGCACTCTGAGTGTCTTAAAGTCTAACATCTAACAGTTGTGGCGCCCTTGCATTCTAGATGTCTCTGGGAGTTCTGTTCTCCCTCTGGCTGTGGCGGGGCCAAGTGGAGTTGGTTGTTCTAGCCTGCTTCATTCCTTCAAGCTCTGTGCAGAAGCTAGCTGTGTTTTCTCTTCTTACTGCACAAACATTTCTTTGTCTTCTTGGCCCACTGAGCTGGGGGGCGGGGCTGTAAATGATGAGGACTGACTTCGGGCCTGGGGGTTGGGCCATGCTTCTTTAGGGTTGTCTTGAGTTGGGTTGAACATGGTAAGATGACCGGATTGAGCTCACCCTCACCCCCACAGCTTGGACTTAGGAGGAGGAACCTCTAATACTGAGCCTCTTAGGAAGTCTGGTCAGAGCTGCGGCAGCTGGGCAGCCAGTCCAGACACTGCAGGTTTAAATGACACCTTATCCCTCAACTCTTTCTCTCTCTGGGGCACGGAACTCCTTCCCCACGACATCCCACGCAGCTCTTGCCTCTCACTAGTGCAGCTATAAACTGGGGCAGAGAAAAGAAGGGAGAGAATGGCTGACTGTTCCTCCCCTCCACCACACCAACTTTTAATTCCCCATTCAGGGGTACCATGGGTAGAAAGGTACAGTGACCATCTGCAATAATAAAGTAATAATAATAATAATAATAATAATAATAATAATAATAAGCCGAATTAGTACCGAAGATTTTTCACCATTAACGTTCTACATTAGTCTCCAATTTGTCTCTGAATCCTCAAACGATGGTGGAAGCAGGCGCCCAGTCATAAAGCTTGGTGCGGCCATAATTAGCCCGGCATTGTCTCTCCTCATCACAGTTTTTTCAGGAGCATTAATTCCTTCTCTGTTTGGACTCTGCTAATTATCCCCATCGGTGGCTTGCCCGGCTCTCTAAAGAAGAAAAGGAAGCAATGGCCCTCTGCTCCCCCTCCCCCTGACTCTGAATTTAATTACACCCACTTCTCCTAATAAATTTACAAGCCACAGCAGGGCTTATTATTAATGGACCGTGTCTGTTAGCCTCAGTAAGGACCAGCTACTGTTTTCTCAATACACACACACACACACACACACACACACACACACACACACACACACCACAGCACACACACAGCACTCACCACATACACACACCACACACACACAGAGCACACACACACACACACACACACACACACACACACACACACACACACACAGACACTCATGGGTATTCCTCAGGGATATCACTGGATGGGGCTTTTCAGAAGCCACTAGCTATTTGGTAGTTCATGGGTAACTTGAGGACATGCACTTCTCAGAGAAGAAGGAAAATCAGAGTGGAGGCTAGTTCCAACCCAAGACTGCAGGTATCTGTCCAGGTTTAAAAGATCAGGCCAAAGAGGAGAGAACACTCTCACCTTCTCCAGATTCCAGGTAAGAGATGCTTCCCTGACTTTGCTGTGCAGCTTTGAGTCTGCAGTGCTAACGCCCCCCCTCCAGTCTCCAGAGATGCCTGGTTCAAGAGCCGGGACCCGGGTGTCCGAAAGCCCTGCATTCAAATCCCTGCTCTTCTGCCCCACACACTGCATCCCTTGAGCCAGTGACTTGGTTATCATCTCTATACTTGGTTTATCTGTGAGAAGTGAATATGAATTCTTCAGGAGGCTGTAAAGATTAAATGAGATGATATGAAAGGCACAATGCTTGCTGCATAGAAATGAACAGCAAATACGATCATTAATATTAATATGAATGGTTCTGCCTGGAGTCTCTTCCCTCCCTGGACTAAATGCTGTTCCTTCCATGTTATTGGACCTCTGTATCTCTTCTTCTCTGAGCTGTGGTTTACCTGTGATCTCCACAAAGATGTGAAGAAAAGCACAGCTGGGCATCTGTATTTCTGAGGGGCCAGCAACAACTCCAGGCCCTGGGCCAGGCTTCTCTGGTACTGGAGTGAGCTGGGAACCTGTCCTTTCTTTGCTATTTCTCTCTCCAGTTTGTCTTTTCAACTACAATCTGTTAGCAAGAATGCCCGTGATGGTTACAAAATGGATTTCCCTGACATGGGAACACATTAGAAAAAATGGCAACAATAGCAAGCAATAAGAGCTGCTGATGAATCCTAACACTATGGATGGAGGGAAGAGGAGGGGGCACCTGGTCCGTCTTTAGAGAATGAAGTGTCACAGGGAAGACAAGCAGGCCCTGGGATGCTAATGAATAACTTAGCATCCCTGGATGAGGAATGAGGCCATGAGCCATCATCCTACCAGATAACCAGAGTGTCTCACTTAGGGTGACCAAGCAGGCCCTACCCTAGTGACCTTCAAGGGGATCTTAATTTCCCAGGAGGGAAGAGGGAACTGAGGCCACTTTGCCCTCTGACCTAGGGTCTCTGTTCTCTGCTCTAGAGGCCTAGCTGTACATAGCAAACAATTATACTTAACCAAAAAAGAAAACCAAGTCTTGGGGAATAATAGCAGCTTGTGTTTGGGGAACACTCTCTTCATACTAGGGCTGTGCTTATTTGATTTTCATAATGATCCAGTGAGGTAGGAAGAACCATTAGAAAGCCACGTGGATGACATGCACTTTTCAGTCATCTACACTGGTTGCCCCCCCCCCCCCGCCCCCCACCTCCCAAGGTACCTGCCACATTTCTGTGTACCTTGTGAAGTCCAGGTCCCCAGTTAGGATTAAAGCCACATGCCTTTGTTCCAGACAATGTCCTTGGGATTATGTCTCCAAAGCACAAATAGATCTACCCATCTTTTTCTCTCCCAGAGGTGGCTAGATGGTCTGAAAGCAGGTGCCATAGCTTGGATTGGTAGCGTCTACCCAAAGGCCCATGTGCAGCAAGCTTGTTTCCCGAAGTCGGCCTGTTGGGAGGGGTGGAACCTTCCAGCAATGAGGCCTACTGTTGTAGCAGACCCCCAGTCCCTTCGCCCTTCTCTTCCTCTCTCTTGCTTCTTGGTCTTGGTGGAAGAGGTTTTGTTTCACCACACCTGTCCACTATGATGGGCCACCGTGGGCCAAACAATGGGACTGACAGATCATAGACTACAGCCTCCAGAACGGTGAGCCAAAACGAACCTTTGCTCTTCAGAAGTTGTTATCTCAGGCATTTGTTAGAATGACAGAGAGCTGACTCACACACTGGGGATGAAGGTTGGCTGAGTTCAAGACCACCCAAGTTATTTTAAGTCCTCTACAATTACCACCTCCTCTTGTCTTCTTCTTCCTCCTCCTCCTCCTCCTCCTCCTCCTCCTCCTCCTCCTCCTCTTCTTCTTCTTCTTCTCTCTCTCTCTCTCTCTCTCTCTCTCTCTCGTCAGATTTTTTCCTTTGGGCTGCTAGTTCACAAATAACAACACAGAGACATTATTAATTATGAAAGTTTAGCCTTAGCTCAAGCTTGTTTTTAACTAGCTCTCACAACTTAAATCAACCCATTTCTATTAATCTACGTTCTGTCACGTACCACTCATCCTATTTCCTCTGTGTCTCCTCGAGTCTCTCTCATGGGGCTAGACTCTTCCTCCTATTTCCTTTCCCTGCCAGGAAATCCAGCCTGTACCTCCTGCCTAGCTATTGGCCATTCAGCTTTTTATTACCCCAATCGTAGCAGTGATTTTTTGTTTGTTTGTGTTTTTGTTTTTTTAAGACAGGGTTTCCCTGTGTAGTTCTGGCTGTTCTAGAACTCACTCTGCAGGCCAGGCTGGCCTCGAACTCACAGAGATCCGCCTGGCTCTGCCTCCCGAGTGCTGGGATTAAAGGCGTGCGCCACCACCGCCCGGCCTGCTCTTGCTTTCTTACTCACCACCTTATGCCTCCCGTATGGATGAACTCTTTCAGTGTCCAGAGCCTAGTTCTCCTGGCATTGTCTGCCTGTGAGATGTCAATGCCCAGGCTCTTCTAGTCCTGGGAGAAGATTCTCCAGGCATGGGGTGGCCCTCCTGTTCTTTCATAACCAGTTTTGAGTGCTAGGGACTGATTCCCAATCATCCGTACCCTCTGTCTTCTCTAAGCATGGAGCCAAGGGAGCAGCAGCTGGAGGTCACATGGAGAAGCAACTGCAATAGCAACTACACAAAGCAAGGAGGGGGAAGAATCCCCTGGTCCCTCCCCCACCTTCTTTCATTTATGAATTCAGGTTTTTTTGTTTTTTTTTTTGTAAAGCTGAACATTTAAATGCACTCTGTGCTCTCTGGATTCCCCCCTCACCTCCTCCCTTCTCATTAAAATTCTAATTATTACCAGAGCAAGTAAAATGTATGATCAAAGGAAAGCACGGCCCTAGAAATACCTTTTGTTTTCAAGTGGCTCACTGCAGAAAATGGGCCCAGAATAACTGTAACAAAGAGTGCACATGGGAAGGGTCCAGAGATGTCCAGACACTTACAATAAGGATATACATATCTACAGTAGCTTTCCAGATGCACCCAGAAGGGTAAGGGCTTGGAAAGACAGCCTCCAAGCTATTTAGATCATAAACGTACAACAGGAAAAAATCTGAGTAAGTGCTTCCAACATATGTGTATCTGTCTCCAAGTTATATACATACTCTACCAAAGTACTATTGCTGAGCCCTGTGGACAAGGCTGGAGACTAGACCCACCTCACTGACTGTGTGACCTGGGCAATCTGTTAATTCTCTGGATGTTACTGGATGCAAAGGGAGATCAATAATTTCACCTATTTTCATTAGAGAGGACCACATGATTGGATATATAAAAACCATTTTAATATTGGACATAATGATATTGAATAAATTGACTAAATTCAATAATAAAATACTTATTACTATCAACCCATATATGACTTTTTGACTACTTATATGACATAATAAATATTACAATATCTTGGAAATTTTCTCTCTTGGGATACATGCATGCCTCATTGGAGACCTGGTAGCCTCTAGAGCAATAGTTCTCAACCTTCCTAATGCCATGACCCTTTAATACAGTTCCTCACATTGTGGTGACCCCCAATCATACAATTATTTTTATTGCTACTTCATAACTGCAATTTTGCTACTGCTATGAATCGTAGTGTAAATATCTGTGTTTTCTGATAGTCTTAGGCGACCCTGAGAAAGGGTCATTTGACCCTAAAGGGGTCATGATTCACTGGTTGAGAACTGCTGTTCTAGAGGACAGGCTAGTGCTAGTTCCTAGCCAGAGAAGGGCTCTGGAGTCCCTGTGCTGGGCTGAGTGGGGCAGAGGTGGTGGGGAGAGCCTTGCAGACAATCTTCTCTTCACCTCTTTTCATGGAGGCACCTGGCTGCTGGGGCAGGGACTAGACAGGGAGCTGGAAGGCAGTTGGCTCCTCGAGAGCATGGCTAAAGTTCTTACTTCCTCAGGATGTAGGGTAGCTTTCTTTTAGGACTGGATACAGTAAAAGTACCTGGAGGGACCTAGGCATTTTGCCAAGCCTAGCTCAGAATCTGGCAATCTGGCATAGCTAAACTTAAATAGGAAAGACTTGTAACTCATTCATGTATGCCTGCTCATAAGCTGGTTCATGAATGAAAACACACTATACCTGGAACCAGTAGGAGTCTAGAGTTTAATCTGGGACAAACATATCATAGAAATGGAAAGAATAGGATAGTGGACACTGGGCCTGGCCCAAGTTCTATGTCTGACTAACCTGTGGCCTCTTGTAAGCCACTCCTCTGGGCCACTGCTGCCATCTTTAAATAGACAGCCTCGCCTTGGTACTTGTTGACTAATTGTGCACGGTAAGATTAGTAAGGAGTTTGCAGCCGGTCCAGAGGCTCCAACCTCCAGGTCTGCAGGGACCAGTCAAGTGAAAGACAGCAGAGGGTTGAGCTGATGGGACTCATCCGTGTAGAGGAAGTCACCAATCTGCCATGGCCAGTTAGCAAGTCATTGGCCATCTTCCAGAAAAATGTCAAACATCTGGGGTAGTGACAGTTATGGAATTTCATAGCTTCTCACACAATATTAGCCAAACCAAACTCCTAGACTGGCTCATCCACAAGTGATCATGTGACAGCCCTGCCAGGCATACCTCTGGCTCAGAGCCTTCTGACTTCTGCCTTGGGCCCAAAGATTCATCTTCACATCTAGGGAGAGGAAATGGGGTAGGAGCCTGCATACCAACTCTGCACATGAGGAGGCATTCTTTACAGCTGTCTTGAGATGATGGGCACCCCTGGGTCTGGACAGGAGCAGGTTAAGGCTTTCAGTGCCTGCTTCCAACCCAGCCACACGGATCACAAATACTCGGTTTACAATAAAACTTACAAAGAACCACAGAATGGAAGAAGACAGTGACAGGAGTCATTTATATTTTGTAATTAGCTTTGACCTATATAGACCCTAGTAATCAGGTTCCAACTTACTACAAGTACCTGGTTAGCCTACAACAGGAAGAAAACTCTAGGGAAACAGAGGCTAACACACCTGCTCTTAGGGAAATGGGACTGGACTCCTCTCCCTGAGAGAGAGCTGGGTGTTTATTGAATTCCTGCTTTGTTTCCGGATCAAACAAGACTAGAACCTGGACAAAGAAGGGAGCGTGAGTAAGCCAACATCTGCCCCTACCTCACAGACTGTGTGTGGGCTGTGTGCAAAAATCACCATAGGGGGCTGGAGAGAAAGTCCGATGAAAGATGACTTGCATAACAAGGGCAAGGCTCTGGGTTTCATCCCCAGGACCCAAATAAAAAGAGTAGAAAAGAAAAACAAGACACTTAGAAGTCTGGCCACAGTAACTGCTGTAATAGAAATTCAAACAGCGTACAAATATGAACGCTTCAGGAATTTGCACATTTGCTTAGATTCCCATTTAAATCACTGTCCCCTCCCTGGGCACAAGCCAGGAGCAGTAGGGCACGCAGCCAGTGCTCCCCAAGCTGGTAAAAGGTGGGGGCAGGGCGATGCTGAAGCAGTCAGACTCTGGTGAACACCAGACTGCAGATAGTTGACGAACGGGCCATCAGTGGTCAACCCCAAACCAACTCCTCTTCCCGTGACTTGGCAGCTTGGCTCATGACCATTCTTCTCTCTTCTTCCGTCTTTGTCCCTTCTGTGTGCGCCTTCTTCCAACGCCTCACCTGCTTATCCCCACCTCTGTCTGTCTCTGTCCTTCCCTGCCTGCCTCACGCCGAGGGCAGGCACCTCTGTCAGCCTCCTCGCCGTGGTAGTTATTGTGTGTGGCGTGGCCCTGGTGGCAGTTTTTCTCTTTCTCTTTTGGAAGCTGTGCTGGATGCCCAGGAGGAGCAAGGAGGCTTCCAGCCCCTCTTCTGCTAACCCTGCTTCAGAGACTCTCCCAAGTCCCAGCTCCAGACGCAACATGGCGGATAAGCTGAAGGACCCCAGTGCTCTGGGCTTCCTGGAGGCGGCTGTGAAGATCAGCCACACTTCCCCAGATATCCCAGCCGAGGTGCAGATGTCAGTCAAAGAGCACATCATGCGTCACACGAGGCTGCAGCGACAGACCACAGAACCAGCATCATCCACCAGGTGAAGGGTGCACCTCTCCCCTTCTAACCCCCACATGCCCATGCTTTCTGATAGAGTGCATCAGAGAGATTCCAGCCTCCGAGAACCAGGGTCCAAAAGTAATAGCATGTGTCTTTGGAGGACCAGATCAGATGGTGTGATCCACGGTGGCAATCAAGAGGGGAGGTGGCGTCAGGATAGGTGTGACGGAAGGGGAACCTTCATGGTGAGATGCTGTGCATGTGGTAAGCACATGGCTGCGAATGTGAGAACACAGAAGACCAGACTAGAAGCTAGGGTGAGAGTTTTGAGGCAAGGAAAAACTTCAGACAGGGGGAAGAGTCCATGCAAAGGCCCAGAGACATAAAAGTTCATGGTGCATTAAGGGTTAGGTCAATGAAGCCTCGCAGCTACAGTCTATCATATGTTGGAGGTAAAGCAAGAGAGTCCAGGCTTTTTAAGACCCAGGATTTCTTTAAAACCCGTTTGAGTTCCCCACATGGCAGCAGTTGCATAACCTGGCACCATCTAGTTCAAAAGCCTACCAGCAACAAACCTGAGGGCTGCCCGCTTACTCTAACTAACTCCAGAAACACCTCTAAAAAAAGATGTGCATAGGCGCTGTGTTTACTCAAAATCTGAGAATCTTGTAAATTCCTGGATCTCTGCAATGTTCCTCCAGGCTCAGAGACACCAATCTAAGGGAAAGAGATACGGTCTTCAGAAGACAGGCATGAAGATGCAGTCTGCCATACGGCCTTGGGCATAGAGCTCATTTTAAGCCTCACTTTTCGAAACTGTAAACTAGGGTAAATGACTCTGCTAAGGTTGTTGTGAGGAACCAATGAAAGAATCTATGTGATATCGCTGAGAGCTAACCCATGTTGCTAATCACACATTTGGCCCCCTTCCAAGCACTTTGTATGCATCTATTTTTACCCTCACACAATTCTATGCAGTTGTTACTTTTATTATCTTTATTTTTATAGTGCAGAGAATTTACTAACCTGTCTAAAGTAGCAGGACCCAAATTAACCTATGTGGCCTAACTCTAAAGCCTGTTCCTTTAACTACTTGACTGTCTGCTGGATGCTAATTTCTAATAAGTAATCATGATGGTGGCAGCAGTGGTGATGGTGGTGGTGATGATGATGGTGGTGATGATGATGATAATGATGAAGATGTAGGCAGTAGGAAGGATAGTCCTCCTCTTACAGAGGTTCATGCTCTGATGGAGAAAATAGTCATGCCTACCAGGAAAGAAACCTAGAAAGCAGATGTCAGAAGAGCAAGAACAATGATTAAAACAATGGCTAACATTTATTGAGCTTGCTGTACAGTGGGCACCATTCCAACTACTTTACATATATTAAGACACACGATGCTTCCAACCACTCAGTGCGCAAAGTGTATGAATAGGAAAAGTGGGGTCAATGAGAGGGAAGGAAGGGGGCCCCACCAGGGGGAGGATGAGGCACCAGGGGTGGGTCTGTCTTTATCCCACTCCTCCCCAAGCCCTGACACACATTTGTGTGTGTGTGTGTGGTGTGGTGTGTGTGTGTGTGTGTGCCTCCTGTCCTCTACCAGACACACGTCCTTCAAGCGTCACCTGCCACGGCAGATGCACGTCTCCAGTGTAGACTACGGTAACGAGCTCCCGCCAGCGGCCGAGCAGCCCACCAGCATTGGCCGCATCAAGCCTGAGCTCTACAAGCAGAAGTCAGTGGATGGGGATGATGCCAAGTCTGAGGCCGCCAAGAGCTGTGGGAAGATCAACTTCAGCCTCCGCTATGACTACGAGAGCGAGACCCTGATTGTGCGCATCCTGAAGGCCTTTGACCTCCCGGCCAAGGACTTTTGTGGAAGCTCTGACCCTTACGTCAAGATCTACCTCCTGCCCGACCGCAAGTGCAAGATGCAGACCCGGGTGCACCGCAAGACCCTGAACCCCACCTTTGACGAGAACTTCCACTTCCCCGTGCCCTATGAGGGCCTGGCTGACCGCAAGCTGCATCTCAGTGTCTTTGACTTTGACCGCTTCTCCCGCCATGACATGATCGGGGAGGTCATCCTGGACAATCTCTTTGAGGCCTCTGACCTGTCCCGGGAGACCTCCATTTGGAAGGACATCCAGTACGCCACGAGTGTGAGTACAGCCCTGTTCCCTTGGCTGCCTTGCAGTGGCAGTTCTGAGTTGGGTGGGAGACATGTCCCCAGATCTCTGTCCCGCTAAAGAGACATAGGAAACGATGGGGACTTCCTAGTGGCCCAGCTCATTCTGGGGAAGCCCTTGAACTCTGCCTAGATGGGGTAAGGAAGGAAGAGAATTTGTGTCTTTTGATTTTGGTTGTGTGGTGTGGGTGTTTCCCCCCATTTGCTAAGCCTTAAGTCTGTTATCTATAAAATCATGTTATGCAGTCTTTTAGATTGAAGGTAAGTCCATACTGAACTAGTCAGTAGGGTCTAGTAATTATTGATTTGTTTTAGAAGTTTGGAATCAGTGATCAAACCAGGCTGTGCCAATCAGTATGAACCAGGTCATGCATGCTGAAGTAACAAACAATCCTGGGCTTAAGACAACTCAATTTTATTTCTTATTTGTGTTATATGTGCTTCACAGCTTGCCTGTGGGTTCTACTGGGCCTTGTCACCAAGGGAGCCAAGTCAACAGAGCCCTATGTCAATATATGCTCCCACGGTTAGACATCAGGATGAAGAGGCTATGGCAAAGCGGGCAGTATGCCTTAATGCTTCCAGGCAAAAGTGACATGCATCACTTCCACTCATGTTTCATTAGCCAAAGCAAGACATGTAGCGATTCTCAATGTCAAGGAGGCAAGGGCAAAGCAACCCTACTTTGTCAAGAAGGAAGGCTGCCGCTGCTTAGGAACAGCACATAGCACAGTCCCTCATCTTAGGCACGGTCCTCTCGCTAGTCTGGGAAATGCAGGAAGCTAGCCTAAGACAATGGCTGAGTTCACACACAAGGCCTGACTCCTGGCCTGTCCACAATCACCTGAAAGTGGCCAGGGAAGGTTTCAAAGAGTCAAGGTTTAATTTCATTCATTCATTCATTCATTCATTCATTCATTCATTCATTTTTAGATTCAGAAATCCAATTGTAAATCTAATTGTGTATAAGCATGTGTCTGTTTGAAGGAAGGTTTGTGCATGTTCAGGCAATGCCTACAGAGCCTTGAAGAGGGGCATCAGATCCCATGGAGCTGGAGTTAAAAGTAGTTGTGAGCTGCCCAGTGTGGGTGCTAGGAACCAGTCTCAGGTCCTCCGCAAGAGCAGTGCACACTCAACCACTGAGCTACTGCCCCCTCAAGCTGGGTTTTTCAGAGAAGTGGAGGATGCGCTCGGTACTGGACCTAGTGAGACCTACCCAAAGCCTCTGTTAACACTGACAGCATGAGATGATGGCGTTGTTTAAGGCATCCTGCAGATGGAGCTAGGCTGTACCCCTCTGCACCCAGCTGTGTGGATGAAAGTCGGCAGAGGCATTTAGCCAAACTCTAATTGACTTTAGTGTAAGCTGCTGAAGTGTCTCCCTGGATGTTTCTTGAATTGTACCTTAGCAGAGGTGACTATATATACATACACACACACACACACACACACACACATACATATATACATACATACACAAAAATACACACACACACATACACACACACACACACACACACACACACACACACACGCACACACAAACCCTACCTTTGAACAGTCCATATTTAACATCATTATGTGGAATCTGGCGTGAGCAGGCAGCTTGGCTAGCAGACAAACTGTGTCTGGGGTGGGGGACAGCAAAACAGCAGCAGCACCCTGAGGGGGCCCAGGAGCTCTGCAGCAGAAATCACTCTGAAGTTTACATCTGGTGCATCTCTTCCCTGTGTTCTCCTACAGCAGGGCTTCATTATGGTGGCTACAGCGGCTCAATTCTCACAGTGAGGCTGTGGCCCAGGGAGGGGAGCGCTGCTGGGCAGGGGCTCTGGTCCACTCTGTCTCCCTAGGAGCCTCCTCTGTCCCTGAACAGAGTTCAACCTTCCTGTCTTGGATGAAGAGCCAGCCTTGTCATGGAACAGGCTGTCTATGTGCAAGCACATCCCTCACCTGTATGTAACTTTCCACTTCCTGGAATGTAGCTGTCCCCACCCTGGTCCCATTGCCACCTCCCCTGCTCGGGTTCAGAAGAAGGCAGGTCCTCCCTAGTCAGTGTGAGTAGAGGCTTCCTCCGTCTCCTTATCCTAAGAGGACTCTGAGGGGCCCGGCTGGGGTAAAAGGTAACCTTTGTGACTCACGGGAACTTCAAATCTAACCAAAGAGACAGGTGGTTTATACTCAGCAGCTGCAGGCCAGACAATACTGTTTCCTGATCACAATCTCCAAAGCCATGGGAGAGAAAGACCGTGGGGAAGATCTCCAAATGAGAGGGCTTGAACCCGATGGGGAAGGATGGACACAAATAACCCACCAGGCCCCAAACAGTGGGGTATTCTAGATGAGGAGTAGAGGGAGGCCAGCCCAGGCATTTCCAGGTCTGCAGAGCTGGGTACCAGACCTGGACTTGCCTGCAGTCTCTCTGAGCTGGGCTCCCTCTTCAGGTGAGGAACATGGGGACCCTGCAAGCCCAACGCCTCACCAGTTAGCATGGGCCTGGAGAACTGGCTCAAACCGCACAGACAAGAACTCGAGGAAGGGGAGGAGGGCTTCCACAGACAGGCTGGTGGTTCTTACCTCTGTCGTGATGTTGGCTGTGAAATTTAATTATTTGGGGACCAGGGAGACCCAAGTCACAGTCACAGGGAATGACCGAGCACTCAGAGTGTATGAAATCCAGTAGCCCGCGCAGGGGTGGTGGTGGGGAGAGGCAGATGAATGCAGCCAACAGCCAGGTCTCGTTTCCTCCCTGTGCTTGATTTGGTCCTCAGAGCTGAGCTTGGAATGACAGTTTTCCTGCTCCAGCCCAGTTGGTCCCTCAATACGCCCGACAGTCCCGCCTGGGTTTGCAGGGCTCTGTCTTACTTTTGTGATAAAATACTGACCGAAAGCACCTTGGGAGAGAGGGGTTTATTTCAGCGTACAGCTTACAGTCCATGGTCAAGGGAAGCCAAGGCAGGAACCTGGAGACAGGAACTGAAGCAGAGGCCATGGAGGAGTGCTGTTTCCTGGCTTGCTTTTCATGGTTTGTTCAGTTTGTACAACCCTGGGCCACTTGCCCAGTGGTGGTACCACCCACAGTGGGCTGGACCCTTCCGCCTCCACCAGTAGTCAAGAAAATGCCCCACAGATACACCTACAGGCCAGTCCGGTGGAGACACTTCCTTAATTGAGGTTTCCTCTTCCAGCATTTAGTTTGTGTCAGGTTGACAAGAGCTAACCCTCACAGACTGGTACATAGATCTGTCGTCCACCTCTCTGCCAGACCAGTCCACCTTCCAACACCTCCATGTGATCTTCTGGTGCCATAGCAGCTGCCCCTCCCATGTATTTCTGTGTCCCCAGGGTACATCTCCTATCGTATTCTGTGTTGGAAAGTCTCCCAATGGAGGATTCAGGAACAGCTGTGTCTACAGTTGACTTTCTACTGGTGTTGAACTGGGTTAACCTGGGAAGGTTTCCTAGAGAACTTCCAGTCATCTTTTTGCAGTAGGCACAACCAAACTTGGGAAGGGATGTTCTGTGTGCTCACTCAGAGTTCAAGGACACAGCTTGTTCTGGTGAGGGGAAGAGACTAACTAGCCAGACAGTCTAGACTGGAACAGAAAGCCAGTGACTCACAGCTTGAGTGGGAAGAGAGGTATCATGAGTGGAGGATTAGAAGGATGCTCTGTGACCATGCTCTGGCATGGATGCTATCCCAGCCGATCCTCAAGCTCATCGGGAATCACATTCAGCCCTAGCAGGTGGAACCAGGCTAGTCCACTGGCCCAGTGCTCAAGTTGGTTTGAAGTAGCAAAGCCTATTGAGTGTCTACAGAGCTTGAGGCTAGTGAGAGGGAGGTTAACATCTGGATAGTCTAGCTATGTTGATTGCAAACTCAAGTCCCAGGGGACCCTGGCCTCTAGCTGTACACAGCACTGGCCTGTGGGAGGGTGAGAAGCAGGCAGACGGGATATTCTGGGGCAGTTGGAGCCCTCAAGTCTTCCAGTGATTTCCAAGCTTAGCCTTGGGAAAGAAAGCAAGTGTGTTCATGACATCCGTTCCAGCCAGGGACACTGCTGCAGCCCTCACTCCTATCGACACAAGAAAGCCCCTGCCAGTCTCCCAGGCGATCTTAGGGGCTTGCCTCTGTCTCTCCAACCAGAGGTCCCATTGACTAAACTCATTCAACTCTTCCCCCATCCCTCTCCTAGCCGTCTCATTATTTCTATATAAAGCTGTGGATTTATCATTGTAATAGAGTCACTGTCACTGGGTTTGCTAGCATCTCTGTAGTCTCATAGTTATTGTTACAGTGGCCTCAGAGCCCAGTGCATGCCACTGTCTCTGTCAGTCACTGTCCCTGCTGTAACTGGAGCCATAAATATGTTGCGTTTGGTGGTGCCGACTGACTCGGACATCTCCCTGCTTTCCTGGGTCTCTACCAGATGTGTGTGTGTGTGTGTATGTGTGTGTGTGTGTGTGTGTGTGTGTGTGTGAGAGAGAGAGAGAGAGAGAGAGAGAGAGAGAGAGAGAGAGAGAGAGAGAGAGAGAGAGAGAATGTGTGTGTTTGGATTGTTTGGGGGGCTGATGTGTTTGGATTGTTTGGGGGGCTGATGATAATTCCGGGGAGCCTGCACTCGGTGTGTGGGGTGAAAAGGATGCCTTCGGCAGTGGAAGAGCCTCCAGCACAGTAAGGACTGGGGCCGTGCAGAAGAGCTTCCTCCCTCCTGGTGCCAGACAAACTTGTGCTCCGTTCTATCTAGCTTCTGCACTTACATGCTCTGAGCCCTTGAGCATATCTAGACCGTGACTCAGTTTCACCATCAACAGACTGGGGGCAATTTGTCTTTTCTGTTCTGTAATGGTAGTGTAATTCCTGAGCTACCTAGGGCAGCACTGGCCTAGAGCTAACTGCTTTCATGGAAATAGAGCTGTGTATAACTGTATGGTCTCCACAGAAGAAGCCTAGAACCTGGGGTAATCGTACACTGG